GAGTAAAGTAAAAATGAACTAAACTCAGAAGATGAATAGATTCTGCATTTGTCCAAGTCCAACATGTGGCCAAGAATATCATTTCCTTCTTTCTCCTATGTCTCCAATGTTCCTATAGATGATTATGTAGGAGTTTAAGTATAGCACTGCGCTATGATTATAGCTTTAATATGCACTATATTAACCACTAAAATCTGGCTACAAATTAGGACAAAGAATGTCACACAACGAACCACGATGGTGAGAACGTAAAGATCAAACAATAAGGCCAAGGCAATCGGCATTCAACAGAGGCCAACAAAAGTGGAATAACACAAGATTCCTCTGTGCATGCCACTATAATTGACTAACTACTTGGTAATCCAACCACACTTTGAGAAACTGATCCTAAGCCACCTCACTTATCACCAGCGGCTGCCTCCTTCCGACACTTTAATCACCCCTTTTTTGTACACTTTGAGAGCCCAGCTAGTTGCTTTCTGTCTAGCCACACATCATTTTGCTGTGTGCCTGCAGCCCACTGGGGCCTCAGAGGTCATAAACATGTGGAGGGGGTTTTAAAGGTTTGCTGGAGTATTTAGTCCCACTCCAGCACACCTAAGGGTGCCGTAGGATTGTTGTGTCTATTTAACTTCGACACCGTCCACTGGTTTATTTTTTGTTGCTGGATGCTTATATAAATATTCCGCGTAGTAGGACTAAAAATGTGCAAAGTGACTCCCAGTGAGCCTTCCCAGCTGTTTTCATGACATAATCTCCCACACAGAGAGACGGCCATTCATTCACCCCGTGCTCCGATAAGGTCTCTTTATTTCACACTTTCACCCAGCTGCTTGTCTTTGTAGTATGACAAATAGAGATGTGCTAGTGTCACGGCTTAATTAGAATTTCTCTCATGCCCTGACAAAGACAGGCAGTTACTTGTTCTAATGTATGATGGCAGTGAGGCCAAGACGGCCAAACAGAACAGAAGAACAAACCTATACAGGCTCTCATAGATCAATAAAGAGTTTCCCTTTGGAAAATTAGGAAAAATGTATATATGTCCTGCTAAACATATTTAGTTAAGACTTAAGGTTGTTAGAACCCTGTACAGTGTAAACATTTCTTTCTTGAACACTGCTGACAATAAACATTTATTATATATTTCAGTCAAAATCCTAAGTATAATCAACACATCTCGCTCAATTATACAGCAGAAGGTCATCGTTTCATATAATAAGGCTATAAAAATTTGGATTGGTCTATTTACAGGACAAGGTCATGCCCTGATGATTGTAGAATATCTTCATATTCAGCTACTCCACAGTCTTCTAACATAAAGCATAACTTCTATTAAGAAGACGACTCATATGTAACCATGACTTCCAGCTGCTGTTAAATATAACATAATCTTCTTTATGACACCCATCATTTGTCTGATTGAAGAAAGGTGCGTGGAATGTTGATATCCATGTGAGCTTCATACCTGGGGTTTGTGTGCCTCAATTACCATAACACGGGGGGAGTTTAATTGTGACTTGATGCATAGTTACACAACCATAACACATACAAATAATAATTTCAATACATTTGGCCTGTGCTGAAATTACAGTGCATGTGCAATTTATGACTCACACAAACTGCCCAGACAAAAGCCCCGGGGGAAATTAGTTTCAAAGTTTATCATTTGCTGTGTTAAAATAGCTGTTACAACCCATTAATAGTGCCTGACTTCACCCAGATGATATCATGCTGTGAAGGAAGCAGAGTACCTGCTCTAATGGAAACTGTGATTTACAGCCTCCACACAGGTTCATATTTGTACTGATGAACCTGTGTAACGGTAACAACTTTACTTATTGCTATGTACAACAAAAAACATCAACCCTGATGCAGTAACTTCCCAAACTTCGCTTTAATGAACAGTGATAATCACCTAACTAAAATATTAGGAATTCTTTATTCTGGCAATGAGCGGGAAAAGGAAACTAGGGGGAAAAGAAAAATGGGTTGCACGGTCTTAGTAATCAGTGTAAAAATAAACTTGAACACATTTCTGGAACAGGTGCTATGTCAAAAATGTATCCCCAAAGACTTGATACGCTAAAATTGTAAATTATGACTTTGACTTCTTCTAACTTGTTATGTTCTAACATTTCCACAAAGGAGAGAAAAAGTGACAGAGAAATCATGTGATACAAATGTGGAACAAGAAAAGTTTATGTCAGAATTTTGGACAAAGTACACCATCTCGAAGACAAATCTGACTTAGGTTCAAGACAGCATTTCACACAGAATAAATCAGTGGTTTACCCTGTATATAAGGTTTAATAATAACAGTTTTTGACTCATAATCAATATGGATCTACAGTAGATACTTTACCTACTTTGCTAGTTTTGTTGATCTTTTAAATTAAACTGAATTTACTTTTTATTGTCTTTTAAGAAAAAAAACATAAGGTAAAAAATATCCTTTATAAAAATTGACAAAATACCATTGGTGTGACCTAGAAAGGTCCAAAATATGACTTCCTTTCCAGGTAAAAATGTAATTTAATCATCATACTATCATAAATCTATTTATTCACAACTGGTAAATATAAAATGCGACATCCAGAGACACTGGAGTTTTTACCACATAGTACTTAAAAACAGACACTAAATAAATAAAATAAAGATTTTCCGTATAAGCCATCCTGCTTCAGTTGTCAGCTATTTTGTACCAGCACTTTAGAGGCACACACATTGTGAGTTTAGCAGTAATTTGTGGGAAAAGTCTTTACCTTTAACAACATAACTAAAATCACGCTATGTTTAAAATCATTGAGGATATTGGGGTCGCTATTCTCCGCCCCAGTAATTTAAGAGAATGGGTTCTTAAAATTTTGGAATCCCCTGGTCTAGTGTTTAGAGAAACTGAAAGAAGGAACCACGCAAACACTGTTTGTGTTTACTTTGTTTACAGTTCTTTCCTTAGGCCTTTCAAAATTGATTGTTTATTTGATGTAGGTTTTTACCTTTTCATGCAAGAAGAGACCTACGTTTGTTGCCAAAACCATCAAGTGCTAGAATAGTCTGTTTTAATACTTAACTTGTTTGGACAAAATTGTAGAAACAAATCTATTGCATCCTGACTCACCGTCATACAATCTCTTGCCAAAATTGTCACAATTACAGGCTTTCAGGCCCGGTTTATCCGCACTGCCATTAAAATGAATTGCACTTTGTTTAAGGACAGCTCAGTTGCTTTATTCCTCTGGATTTAAGGCCCCGACTGGGAGGATCAGCAGATTATAAAATGGTTGGTACTGAGTGGAGAGCACATGTAGCTGAAAACTAAATACATTTCAGGGCTTGTTTCATGCCTGGAGCACCTCATGTTATAGTCCTTATGCAGCCATGAAAATAGAGCCCCATATCTGAACATTAGAGCATGTTATCTAAACGTTACAGAAGAGTGGAACTAAATCATACAGTCCGCACACGACGGACAAGAGCCAAGTTCACACTACACCACTGTCAGAGTTGGTAGTTCGTTGTGATAAGTGACACATGAACTTATGTGCAAAACCAGGCTTAAATGTACAGCACTGAGAAAATGTAACAGGGCTGTCACTTTTCCTCAACAGTCGTGTTTCAACAAAGGTAATGTGACATATTGGACCTATTGTACAAGGAAATCTGGTGTGTCATGGTTCCCCTGAATTAGACACACACTTACTCCTTTTGGTGGATGAGTCAAAGAAATGCATCTGTAAAATGCTTTACAAGTACAGCAGCTGCACTGACACAAAGAACAAGGCCCTGGTGAGGGTGGTGGGCATCGGACAACTGGGTGTAAACTCCCCAGTCTGTAGGAACTGTATTTATAGCAATTTTTCTCTGGGAATAATCACAGGCTCCTCACGTCATCATCACAACAGTTTGTTCTCCTCCTTCCTCCTGGTAGGAGGTAGAGGAGTCCATCGCTTGGATTAGTGACAAATAAAAACACAAACAAAAAGGTTTGCGTTTTACACAAACATCTCTCTGCTGCCTCGTCTCTATGTTCCACAAATACACAGAAAATATACAGCACTAGCAGCTGCTCTGGACACCTGTTTGCTGCTCATCATTAACCATTTGAAAACTACATATTTATTTTTAATTATTTTATATATTATGTTTTAATTTCTTTTTTTTCATTATTTTTTACCATCAGAGGCACAAACAATTAGGGTTTATCTTTTTGTTTTTTTATTTATTTTTTAATGGATAAAATAAAATAATGTATTTTAAATGTACTGTTGCTTTTGCTTTTCAATTTTTTCTTCACTATATAATTTAACACCTATTAACGCCGAACCATTTTCTTTAATTAAACCTAATATGGAATTTAAAAAAAAATCTGAATTGTCAGTTGAGAAAATCAACTCTGAGTATACAGAAACCTGAAAGCGGGACAAATGTAAAAAAAAGTCAAAAGAAAATTAATGAATTATTTTGCTTCTTTTTTCCCTCCCTCTTCTCCTCCCTGTGATAATGAGCAGAATGATGTGCGGCTTTGATATTCCATGTTTAACTGTGATTAGTTGGCTTGCTGTGAGTCAACACATACTTATAGGAAATTTCCTGCGAGCTGGAATTGCAGTCAGGCAAGAAGACAGAGAGGCTTCTGCGGAACGTGTGCTTGAATATTTTAAAACGAGCGACCGCCAGTCAGTTGCTGATTAGAAGTGATTATCAGCCACTTGCAAACCTCATTTAGTCCGATGACTATGGCGTTCCAAAAAGGAATGACTTGGCAGAGGCGAGATACAAGCAGCTGGAGCACAGTGGTGTGTGTGAGAATGTATTTGAGGTGATATTTGCCGTTTCTGCGTCTCATTCACACTCTACTTACTCTCTCTCCTTCTCCGTTAGTCTGTCTGTGATAGTGTCCTTGATGGAGGAGCGTGACCCCTTGTGGATCACTGGATATCTTAGAGGGATCTGCAGGAAGCATGAGATCATCAGGACCAGGTGTGCTGTGTAACCCAGGGCGACTGCCACGCTCCCATCATCCTTTGCTGAAGGACACAGAGTTAAAAAAATAAATGCAGTAATGAATCACATATTAGGCAGAAGTTTCATCCTGCAGAAAAACAAAGGCCAAGGTGATCTACAAAGAGTCACATGTCAGTGACTTGACAGAAAGTTTAGCAAGACTCAACCTTTTATTATATCAAAAACCTCAAAGCATGTTTTTGTTTAGATCGGAATTTCATTACAGAGGGAAATCAACTGTGTTTCCATAAACCATGTCCACATCTTGTGAATCCAAACAAAGAGTATAAACTGAAAACCAGAGATGTGCTGGCCAAATACTCGCAGGACGAAGAGCAGAGCTGCATTCATGTGGAATAGTGTTGAAACAAAATGTGGTACAGCACATACAGTATCCAAAAACATTGGCAGCAGTGGGATACCTAATTTCTTTGAGACAGATACACTTGGGAAGCAAAGGCATTATGTGGAACCATCCCCTCTGAGACCACAGAACTTAAAAAAACTGAATGCCTCCGTGAATGTTTTCTGACAGGGAAAGAAACCAGCAACCTTTTCGCATTACGCACAAAAATGGTTTCAAGACTACACGCTAAGTGGTTTCACATTCTCAAACAGCAGCAGGACACTGCCCGAGGCTAAGACATCAAAATTTACAGGGTTTCTAATCTTAATGCGTTGTAATAATAGACTAGGGCAATATTGAGTGGTCAACTCCCTGGCAAACAGTGCATTTTCTAATTTGACAGAAAAAGCCTGCTGTGTGTCATCCTTTTAGCAGCTGGAGTAAATGGAGTAAACAGTTTCCTGGCCCCTGGTACTTTTGCATTATGCGTCACACTAACAGAAAAACATGGGTCAACTAAAGGACATGCTACTTAGTATAAGTGAAACCTCAGGGTGCAACAGGAGACCACTAATACCTGGTCAAGCCAAACTGACAAGGACGGTTTAACGAAATGTAAAACGTAGATTAGTTTCAGTGCCACCCAGTTCTACTTTGACCTCCGATGGACTCAAGAGCTAAACTATTTCTGACCCTGGTCTCTAAATGTGAACATTCTTCCCTGTGGGCCTTTTTTTTTCTTTTCACCAATTTTAACACCCATGGAAACAGTTCTAGACTTGAACGCTCTCTCTCTCTGGCAGACCTCACACATAAAAGAAGGTCAGCGAGGGAGTAAAGTGAATGCTTCTCCATCAGTTATGATGGCTCTTCCCAGTCACAGCAAGTGGTTGGAACAACAAATCAGGATTGGGAACTGTTTGTACAGTAAGCAGCAAATGTCTTTTAAAGAAGTCTCCAGTTACCTCCCTTCTACTTATCGTCATCACCGCACGTGTTTGGTGCACAGCTTAACAAGACAGGACGGTCACAGGCACAGACTGTGTCTCCACTCTATGGGAATAAATTAATGCTCTAGACACAAATGTGCTGGCTGTCGCTACTGTGCTCGTCTGCAGGCTCTTAAGAAGATGCAGAACAGGTGGAGACAAACAGCAGGGAGCTGAGGAGAACAGGAGTTGTGCTTTTGAATTATGGTTTTTGAGGCCTGTTTGGTCCCACCAGCTGTGAGTAAGTGACGCTGCAGGCTGTTGAATGGACACTGACTGGTGTGTCTCAGTGCTGCAAACTGAAGCTAACAGCTCACGGTGCCCTCAGCCACTCATTAGCAAACCTCATTTTAACCTGAACAACGAGCACTCACTGTGGCAGCGGCTGCCATGTAGCATAGCACCATGTGTGGAATACTACTCGCAAGTACATCTATAACAGGGGTACACAATACTGTAGGCTACCATGGGAGTGCATTACTGCATCCTAAGCTTCTGCACCACAAGCCTTACACACACACACAAACCCAAGCAGACACGCAATAATTTACCTTGGAAGTCTTCAGAGTTGGGAAGCTTTACTCCACAGATGATATAATCTGACTGATTCGCCTGTGGATGTAAATATAAGAGTTAATCAGACACCGCAAAGACAACTGTTATAAATAATTCTGCTTTGTATAATCATAAAATCAGGGAAACACAGCAGTCCACTGAAATAATATATATATATATATTGTCACTGTGTTATGTCTTTCGGATTACTATACAAAAAATAGTTTTTAATATGTATATCTGGTATATTTTTAAAAACTTATTTCAACAAAGAACCACCAG